ACATACCGCAACCATCCCCCACCGCTCCCGACACACACCCTCCCCTCACCGTAGTGACAGCACTCCGTGGGCGACCTCTGCTGGGAACATGGGCTCCGCGCCTTCCGGCAGGTAGATCGTCGTCCTTCTCCTCCTGGCCTCCTCGTACAGGGGGCTGCCCTCTGGCACCCACCGCGACACGTCGGCGATGTGGACCCAGACCCTCTCTCCGGCCCCGTCGGGCAGCGCCTCCACGCTCAGGCCGTCGTCCACCTGCGAGGAGGAGGAGGAGGAGGAGGAGGAGGAGGTCAAAAAGGGGGACCGGTTGCTCCAAGGTTGCTCTGCCATCGTCGCTGAGTGCACGTTCGAAACCTATCCCGGCCTCTAACCTACCCAGAACCCCGTGCTACAACAGAGAATCCGTGGTCGTAGACCAAGCAATGCCCGGGCACTTGAATACAGTACACGTGTTTCGACCGACAAATGATGCTGAGGTTTTTAGCTTCCCAGACTCTAAACTACTGTTCTGTTCAGAATGCGTGTTCAGCAACTCGACGGGGGATGGGGCGTTGCTAGGGATGGTCGCACTGATTCCAAACGCAGTGCCCCAGGACTCTCGGCCCACGCCATCAACACGGTTGCCCTCTCAAGATGCCCCAGAGCCACGGAAAAGGGTTTGCCAAGAGAAAAGCAGAGCACATACAAAAATCCGCTGATATCGAAGGAAGCCATGGTTGTAGCCGCGGGAACAGCGACGACCCTGCAACGACGGTGTGGTCTTCTGCGATGCTGCCCTGCAACGCCACCGTGCTCGTCGTCAAGGCCGATGGAGACACCAATAAGGTTCCTCCCGCAACGACTACTGCATGGTCTGAAAGGAGCACGACGATGGTGCTGCTGTAACAACGCCCGACGTAACCTGTTTCATTCAACCACCCTGCTGTCAAGGTTTGCCGGGGCACCGTACCGCGGTGCTCTCGAGACCTACAGTCCATCTTATGAGACGCTCTGGTCATACCATCAAGGGTGGATGGTGGTGTGTTGGTCTTCTATGCGAGAGCGGTTGTTTTGGTCGATCAAGACGTTTGATTCAACCCATCAGACGCCGTCGACCGCGAGTACCCTTACCTCGTTGGTGTCTTCGCTGTCGATGGCGTACACCTTTAGGTGAGTCAGGTCCCGGCGGATGCTAGCCTCCGGGTCGGGCGGGGGAGACTCCATCATCGCTCTAGCCTGGGTCATGGCTTTCTCGGAGAAGGTCTGAGGATATTCTCGGTTTGGGGGCGAACGACCGACAATCTACGTGAAGAGTGGCTGATGATGCACGGAAATGAGATGTCTTGTACTGTATCTGTGTGCACGTTCCGTGCGATGGCAATTGTGGCTTGGTGTCTGCGTTGGATGGCGGCTAGTAAGTGTTTCGTGTTTAGGTTGCTGGTTGATCGGCGATGCAAGTCGCTCGGTTGCCCCGGTAAATTGGCTGTCGCTTGTGTAGCAGGAGACCCCAATCTTATCGGAAACGTTCGTGTCGCTTCGATTGGTGGCGTGGTTCGATTGAAACTAATCACGTTTCGACCGCTTGTCGGATGCATAGCTTCCAGCAGCCGTACTGCAGGTACACAACATATCAGCGAGGCCGTGAAACAATTATAAACTAAATACGCTTATAGTTCGACTCTTCCAAAACGAATAGTTGAAGCACATGTTTTTTGCTTTCGTCGATCGGCCGATCGGGCCATCAGACCGATGGGCTTCCCGTCTAACCTTATCGATCCCCGCCTCCCGCATGTAGAGGTTCTCATGGTGCTTCATCAGCCCCAGCTGGACGCACAGATGGAACGCGTTCGAAGGGTTGGGAGACCGGCCCAACAGGGTGAGCAGCTCCCTCCCTAGCGCCTCCTCGGCCGTAGTCCTCGACGCGAAGTTCGTCCGCGCGACGGACTGTGCCGCCAGTATCTGCGGGCGGGCGGGCAGGGTCGGATCGAATGGTGTAAGGCGAAACGACTGGCGATGGGCGGGGGGGTGCGAGCGAAAGACATTGCCAATGGTGTGCTCACCACCGCTTTTTTACTCATATTCCACGTTGATACACTATGAGCCAACAAAGCCCTGGCGAATCGCGTGGAACGATACGTTGGGAGGTTTTCGGTGTACGTCTGGCACGGAGAGGACACGCCTTCGTCGTAATGGTCGCGTATGATTTTGGACGCTATTGGTACTCTATTGGTGCTGGCCTCCCGCTACACGTTTAGGGAAGGAAGGATGGGATGCAGCAAATCCAGCCCGCGGGCGTCGCCTAGCCTGCTCCCCGTACACGCTCTAGCGAGTGCGCAAACGCACCTCAAGCCCGCTGAGCATCTCCTGCTGCTCTTCGTCGAAGTCCCCCACCACGAGCGGCGTCTTCCGGTAGCCGCCTCCCTCGTTCAGTCCCGCCTGCAGGCTGGCGACAAAGTCGGCTTTCTTGGCCTTCACGGCGTCCTCCTGGCTAAGTTGGCGGCGCGCCACTTCAACTGCTTCCCTGGTGTTTGCGGCGCACCATGTTATCCCAAACGGACACAAAGTAGGGGCAACATTAGCGCATGTCGTTTCGGTGCCCTACAGTTAGGCCTCGAGATTACAATTTTTTGTGGCCAAAACCGTGACCATGGTCGGTAGACCAACAGTCTAGAGCCAGTTCAAAGTAACCAATCAACGATCCCAAAAACAGGTGGGTTCGTCACCAAAACGCTGAAAAAAAAACGACTCCACTTGTAACCTTTCTAAACAACACCAACGCGTACAACGTGCACTGCACACAATACACACAGCCACAGGACCAACAGCAGAGGATCATGTGCACGACACTAGCGGATCAGGCAAACTAGGATAGCCCATCAGCTGGAGCAGCAGCGCATGCCTATGTATGCATTCACAGCAGCAGCAGAGTCGGAACATATGCCGATGATGAGAGCGGAGGAAAAATAGACCGAAAAAAAAGGTGCCGTCAGAGGCAGTTCGAGGTGCTGTTGCTATCCGTTCTGTCGCCTCCCACAAGCTACCACAGGCGATCCTGAGCATATGCGCCGCTAGCCCGGCACGCCCTGATTCTCGGAAACTATCAACCTTGCTCGTCCTCGATGAATTGGTCCCGATGTGTGCGTGAGCGTGTTTTGGTGGAAGCAAGATATTTAGGTCTGATTCGGCTCAAGCACTGGCCGCAGGCTCCAACTTCAAGCTGTTCGAATACACGCTCACGCACATATCGGGACCAATTCATGGAGGACGAGCAAAGTTGAGGGCTTCCGAGAATCAGTGTGAGCAGGGCTAGCGGCGCATCTGCTTAGAATCGCCTGTGGCAACTTGTGGGCGGCGGGAGACGGGAGAAACAAAACTCGAGTATGTGTGAATTTTCGGCATCCTTTTTTGTTTCGGATTTTCAAGATGTCTCATCAGGCGCCCCCGTTTCCAAGCAAAAAAAAAGTCAACATCGCTTCGCCGCGGCTGGTATTTCAGTCTCTGAGCGTGGAGTTCGCACTGTAGCTCCAGGATAGGGTAGTCCTAGTCCTTGAGAGCCCTCGTCGCATGTAGGTATGTCCAATCGTGTCTCTGGTGCGCTCCAAAAACGCGCCGTGTAACGATCGAACTCCTGAAAAAAAACATGCTCTCTTTTTTTTCGGCCACGATTTTTTGGTGATCACCCCTCAACTCTTGCCCAAGACAGCCAATACGGGAGTAGCTATTCCTCGACGGCAACACCTTGAATCGGGGCGCGGTTTTGTGTGTTGTGGGTGAAGAAACCAAAGCTAGAAATCACAAGGAGCAGATTTTTGGGTCCAAGGGGGAAACATGGAGCATCGACGAAAAGTACTCAAAATATCATACGTTTGCGGCAACCAAATTGCGGAGAGAAAATCTAATCTGGTGTTTCCTTGAGTTTGTTCTACAGACTGGTATCATGCTGTATGAAGAGTCAACTCTCCCCCAGGAACCAGGAATACGTACTCCCACTTTCTTGTCTATATCGAAGTCGATTCCAAATCGGCCACCGAGGTTGTGAAAAAAAAAGTGGTCTACCCGCTGTTTTTTTTGCCGTTGACGGCGTAATCTCGAGGTCTAACAACTGTAGTGTCCGCACGAGGTAACAGTCAGCGATCGAGTAGGGGGGTGCGCTGGGAGAACACCGGGGTACGATCACGGCACCAGCTCCACCACCCCTCTCCGGTGGTCGTAATGACGATTAACAAAGCTACTTACCACAAACACCCAACCGATTGCCGTCCTACCACCCGTAACTCACGAATTGTCTTCGTCTTTTTCGAATTCTGTACGCAGGGCTTGCTACAATACAACAGCCCCGTTGAGGCGTCCACTCACCTCGATCGGCACTCGTAGGTGCCGTCCCGCCGCCGCTTGAAGTATAACGTCCCATCCCTGCCCTCCAACAGACGGAACGCGTGGTAGCACTGCTGCGGCGAGGGGTCCCCGACGCCGAACAGCAGCTCCGCCATGCCTCGGGGATCATCGTTCGCCGCCGCCGCCGCCGCCGCCGCACCGTCGCTACCCGCTGTGCTTTCCTCGAGCATCATATCCCAGGCCTCCTCTATAAGCCCCTCGTCGATCTCTGGACTATCCTCGAACGCCGCGAGGTCCTTGGCCTGGTAGCCGCTGCCGCCGGGGACGACGTACCGCACTTGCCGCGCGGCGACGGTCGTCTTGGTGCTGCTGCCGGACGCCGCCTCCACCGGCTGCACCGTATATGTCAACTTCTTCTTGCCGACGCTGCTCTCTGTTACGAGGCCAAGCGCTGGGGGCCGTCCCCTGACGTCTGAGTCGAAAACCACGACCGATCCCGGACCTATCTGATCCGCTGCCGACATTGTCGTGGCCGCTGCTGATCGGTCCGTTCTGGTTGCTCGGTGCCGCTGGTGCTCTGTCGGGAATTGCTGCCGATGCTGTGACAGCATCCAGCTCTCAGCTGAGCGCTGAAGCCTGATATCTGTACCACTTCTGGTGGCTGTGGGTACCTGGGAGTAGCGCGGGCGGAGTCCGCCGCCCCCGGCCTCGAGCTTCGGTTTGAACGCGTGCGACTGCAACATGAACCCCGACACACGGCGACTGCTGCCACCAATCGCAAGTGCCGACACTACGGCCGCAGCCGGAACGAAGCTTAGAGCCATACCGATAGCACGGCCTCTAACACGCAGGAGCACACACTGACAGCAGTGGCACGTCAGCTGGGCGATAGAGTGCAGGTGGAGGATGCGTACGTGGTGAACCAACCACCAGCAACGCAGCTGGCGGGAGAGAGGCACGAGCAAAGCAAAAGATGACAGTCTCGGCGGGGGCATCCGTGGATCAGTCGGATAGGGGGACGTGGAGGGGCGCCGATGTACAACGACACCGGCTGTCGTCCCGCGGCCAGACTTGCATGCTTGCATGCTCTCCACTCTTCACCTCCCCACAGCGCAGCAGTTTACCAACCCACAGAGCCCACACTCCGCTGTACAAAGGTGTTTTACGCGACGACTGGAAGACGATGCAGTACTGGAAGCCCGGAGAGAAGAGGCCGGGAGGCGGAGAGGGAGGTGGCGGGCCAGCAGGCGACGGCGGAGGGAGTGGGTCAGACCGCGTGAGCGACGGGCAAGGACGGACAGATAGCAAGAAGCGGGTGGACAAGAGCAGGAGGGATGAAGGCGGAAGGGGGAGCACCGACAAAGGCAACAGAAGAAGCAGTGAAGGCGCGAAGAAGAGGGTGAGGAAGGGGAAAGGCAAGGAGAGGCACAGCACCGGCAGCGGGTTGGGAGGCATCAAGGGGGAAGTGTCGCGGGCTGCCTCTAAGCCGCCAGTCGCTGGGCCGTCACAGGGCCTGCTAGCGATGAAGGTAAGCACGCGCGGCTGCAACCTCTTCCTGGCCTCACTCATCCCTGTGCAACAGAATGTCGAGAAGAAGGGAACATACAAAACTGCTGTGGTGTGTACCAACCTCTCTGTTTGCTATCCAGCAGCACCTGAGATGGATCTGTCAAAGTAGCGTGTGAGCGGCCGTTTCGTTGTTATTCCAGACTTGCTACACGTCTCGCACGGCGGTGTGTATATCGGGTGCGTTGGAGCCAGCTGAAGTGTGCGTATCCCAGTTGAAACTGCTACAGCTTGAGTGTTCAGCAAACTTCGTGTACATTATCATGAACACGAAGAAGGTCACTGCTGGTTTCCTACCGAAGGAATGTTTCCACCCAGGCTATCGCCTTTCTAAGCAGCATGTACAATGTTGTTGCTGATACATACGCATACATACTGGTTCATGCAGAGTCTACTGCTGTACTCTCACCGAAGCAATAGGCGTCGGTCGAAGTTGTAGAACCCCAATCTCCTGTCGTGTTGCCTTTTCGTCAAAACCTTCGGCAACACGAAAAAAGACTACCAATCCTAGATAAACCATCACCAGTATTCAAAGGCTCGATGGGGAATTTGTTTGTCGTTACAGCAAGCAGTGAGTAGGAAGGACTACCCACTGGAATTTGGCTGATTCAGAGTCTAGTTAAGACTATACGCTGAAGTTAAGAGGGATGACAGCAGGTGCTATCACAAAAGCGCCGCATAGGCATTAATAATACAAAACATGTCCCCAAAAGTTTTCTGTAGTTGTAAATATATGGGTGCCCTTGCCTCCCTTGCTGCAACGCGGGGTGGTGTCTGGTGCCTACAGTTCATGCAGCGCAAGGCACAGGCGGACGAGGCTCAGAAGCAGCGGCAGGAAAAGAGAGAGAAGCTGGAAAGCGATTTTAGCTCCTCCTACGCGAAACGGCTCAAGGCGGACAAGGACACCGGGAAAGACCGGCGAGTACTTATTTCCACCTGGGTGTTTTCAGACAAATATACGTACCATCGTCAAGACCGTTCGAGATATTAATACCACCGTCGAATGGGATGTGTTGAATGATTAGACTATGTGACGGACGGTGAGAGTGATGGAGAGTTAGTGCGTGAAAAAAAAGCTGTATTTCGGCGAGGCTTGTTTGTTTTCAAATCATCGGGAAACCGCAAAAGGTGTGTTGGTAGCTCTGATGAAACCGCTGGCAGTTAGCTTCTCCTCGTACAGTGTGCAGAAGGTGTTGGCGAGGGGGTATACGCGCTTCCGTGCTCGTGGCACTCGCCTCGTCGTCGCTGGGTTCCATGATATTTCCTGCTGGAACTGCTGCTGCTGCTGCTGCTTCTTGTTCTGAGCGTCAGCGACATGCTGCTGTTGAAACGCAACGAAATGATCCTGTTGGTGGTGGTGGTGTCGGTAGTACATACCACCACCAGAGCAAGCATCATGGTGGGCCCAGACCCCTGAATCGCGTACCACAAACGCCGCGTTCCTTGATGCTACAAGCGCAACTCCTTCCCTCAGATGAGCCAATAGGTTTTTTTTTTTTGTGTGTGTTTCCTGTATCCTTAACCCCGATCAAACATGACTGTCGACACTATGACCGCCAACGTGACAGGCTTATCTGCCGACGAGACGAGCAAGACCCAGCGCTAGTGGTAGTCGGGAGGAGATCGTTCGGGGGGTTCAACGTCGTCGCGGAGGCGGCCTACGACGCGTGCATTCGAGACATAGAGGCCGGGGAGAGGTTAGGGCGGCCCGGCAGAGGAGAAGATGCTGGAGGGGATGGCATATCGGACACAGAAATGGCGGAGAGGTTAGTCGGCTCACCACAGAGCGTGCTGTCGCGGAGAAAGACCCGGGTGTAGTGCTGGTTTCGCTACGGGTGGTGTGCTTGACGATGCTTGCAAGCCCGTTTTTCGTTTTTTGTTTCGCTTTGCCAACCTACACGCTTTTGCGGTCGTACACCTGCGTAGGAGTTAGCTCTGCAGATATGAATGTTCGTTCCATGTTGACTGCTCTAGGCTCCAGTCTCCACCGTTCGGTGTATGACAAAGAGGGGGTCACGCATGAGGAAGGTTATGATGTAGTTTTGTTTGTTTGGATTTTCCCCTTGCTTGCCTGCAGTTTTCGACGCGAGAACGGTTCGGCAGTTTTTCCTCGCTTCGTGCTTTGTCACGGCCATGGGCTTTCCATCTCTACAATAGGTTGCCACTTTTTCACTTCCGAGATGTTTGAACCCGCAATGTAGAGAGTCAGAACGTCACGAGGTTATCAGCTGAATCATCCGCAACGACTGATGCTATATGACAGCTGAAATCGCCAGCTCATGCTCCCACAGTTTCGTACTGGCGTATTCCGCCGGGCTCCTGAAGGTTGCGGCGTATCTTCTCGGAGATATGAATGGAAAAGGAACGATGCTCGGTCTTAAAAGCTCGAAAGGCGTGCATGCCTAGTACCAAGATAAGCAACAAATGAGCACCCTCTCACGCCCCACCTCCCCCACCTCTCCCTTTTTTGGATTATCTCGCGCCCTCCCTCTCTCTCTCTGTCTCTCTCGGTCTCTCTCTCTCTCTCTCTCTCTCTCTCTCTCTCTCTCTCTCTCTCTCTCTCTCTCTCTCTCTCTC